CCCCCAACGGACGGAGGACAGACAGACTCAGACTCAGCAACAAGACTAGCGGCGTAGTCTAGACGACAGGCAGCAGCAAAGTCAACAAGCTCAGCGACTAAGGCAGACGCAGCAACAGACTCAAACGACGGGTCAGTGACGACAGTGGCTAGCAGACGCTCAGTACGAAACCGGTCAGACTCAGGGTCCGCAACGACAGGCAGAGAAGACGCAGGAGGAGACGGCAGAGGAACACGCTGCGAAGGAGAGGAAGGACGACGGACTACGAGGTCGGGCTGACGCGGACGAGGAACACGACGACCGGACCAACCAGAACGGACAGGCGAGACAGGACGCGACGCAGGCTCACGACGCTCAGTAAGACCCCCTGTCTGCTCAGTGTAAGGAGAAGGAGCAGGCAGCGGTGAGCCAGGCTGTAACGGAAGACCAGTAGACGAAGGGAGACTAAGAACCTGGCGAAGCACAGAGTCAGGCGGTGGCTGAGACGACGGAGACGATTGAGCGAAGAACAGGCGCGGCTGTGCAGTGACACCTGCACCAGCAGCTCCAGTACCTCCAGTAGCTCCAGCACCTCCAGCAGCTCCAGACCCCTCAGCGGCAGCTCCTCCAGGACCAGCTCCACCAACAGCAGCACCCCCAGAACTGGCACCTCCAGTCCTAGGGTCTCCAGCCTCCGTGTCTCCAGCAGCAGCACCCCCAGACCCAGGGTCTCCAGCAGTAGCACCCTCAGGCTCAGCACCTCCAGCCCCAACAGCTCCAGTACCTCCAGTACGAGCACCTCCGGGACCAGCACCACTCCCAGCTCCAGTGACGTCAGTAGAAGTACCTCCAGCGGCAGAGCCCCGAGCTCCAGAAGCGCGACCCTGACGGCGACCGTACCAGTCGTGCAGCTGCTGTGAGGTGAGAGGCACACGCGGACGAAGGCGGCTACTCCAAGGAGACCGCGTAACAGCAGACTCCGAACCCTCAGCGCCAGCACCCGCAGCATCTCCAGAACCTCCAGTGCCAGCACCCTTAGCAGCTCCAGAACCTCCAGCTCCAGCGCCACCAGCGCCAGCACCTCCAGCAGCTCCAGAACCTCCAGTGCCAGCACCCTCAGCAGCTCCAGAACCTCCAGCTCCAACGCCACCAATGCCAGCACCTCCAGCAGCTCCAGAACCTCCAGCTCCAGCACCTCCAGTCTCCGCACCCTCAGGCTTCGCACCTCCAGGCTCCGCACCCCTAGGCTCAGCACCCCCAGGCTGAGCACCCCCAGGCTCCGCACCCCCAGGCTCAGCACCCCCAGAAGCAGCACCCCGAGCAGGACCAACCTCAGCAGGACCCGAGTCACCAGTGACCTCAACCGGCGCAGTCAAGGGAGGAGGGTCTACCTGAGACACACCTGAAGGAGCAGGACCGGGAGCGGGGAGGGGGTCTACCTGGGGAGCACCTGGAGCGAGGAAGAGCGGCGGGGGGGGGGGGGGAGGGGCAGTGCGGTAGGGGAAGAGACGGTAAAAGGGAACCGACTCGTCGAACGTGACGTCCTGATTGGGGAAGACACGACACGAGGTGGGGTGGTAAAACTGCCAATCAGGCGCGTCAGGGACAAAGCCAAGGAAGACACAGGGAACAGCTTGTCCGCGGTGGTATCGCGGACAAAGGCACGAGCACCCCAGACCCGGAAACGCGACGCATCGCCAACCTTCCCCGTCCACAGCAGTGTGGGCGAGGTCTCCGGCAAGGAGACACGGGGCCAGAGGTTGAGCTGATGCGCGGCGTACCGGACCGCAAACGGCCACAGAAAATGGGGGGCAGCCGCATGGATCATGGAGGTACGAGCGACCTCCATGACTAAGCCAATGCGGCGCTCAGCAATCCCATTCTGCTGCGGAGAGGCCAGAAGCGTGAACGTCTGGCGGATGCCGTGCTCCGCACAGAAGGCTGCCAAGAGGTCTGAGGAGAACTCACCACCTCTGTCAGAGTGCAGACGCAGGACAGGAAAGTCCGACTGGAACCGCTCGCGGAGCTGGAGACGAGAAGCGCGGATCCAGGGGATCAAAACATCAGGGACATCCCCCTTGCGCTGCAAGGGGAAGACCGTGGTGTAACGCGTGTAGTCGTCGACGACCAGCAGGAAGTACCGCTCGTGGCCCTGTCCACGGACGCGGGCTGGGCCCCACACGTCCAGGTGGAGAGTCTGCAAGGGAGCCTCTGTGGGAGGGAACGAGGAGGAGTGAGGAGCGGCGCGCTGCCGTCCCTCGACACAGGGAAGACAGGGAGGAGCAGGCGAGGGTGGTAGAGGGGGCAGAGTCTCTGGAAGTCCAGAGACAAGGAAACGGCGGTGCATGCTACGAAGGCGCTGCACCGAGGGGTGACCAAGGCGGTGGTGCCAAAGGAGGGTCTGGTGCGACAAAGCACGACACGAGGAGGGGGCCGCTAGCTGATCTGACGCAAACGCAGACGCAGACGCAACTACCTGAGGGGACACAGTGGTCAGTGTGTACAGACTCGAGCCAGGCTCTCGGGTGAATGAGGCCAGGTGCCGACCAGTCCGGGAGCACGTACAGTGGGTCACACGCTGACCTCCAGGGGTGAACTGGTCAACCCACACATCCTGTAGGTCAGCTCCACTCACCAAGTTCGTAGAGAACGAGGGGAGGTGAAGACCTGACAGGGAGCCAGACGGGACCGCCGGACACGGCAGGACCGTGGAGGAGTGCGCAAGGACTGGACCCCCAGAGGGGTCTGCCAGGGAGACTGCAACCGGCCGACGAAGCGGCGTGAGGGTGGTGCTGTCGCGAAAGAAGGAGCGGGAAGCACCTGAGTCAAGTGTGAAGGTGTACAAGGCCTCAGCAGGCGCAGTACCAGAGAGAGCAGACTCACCAGTACCTGGAGCAGCAGCCTCACCAGCACCTAGCGCAGGAGACGCACTAGCACCTAGAGCAGCAGCCTCACCAGCACCTAGGGCAGCAGGCTCTATACCTGGGTCAGGCGGTACGCACAGGGAACAGGCACGGTCAGCACTAGTAGGCAATGCATACATGGCAGTGAGAATAGCATCATAGTCAAGAGAAAGATATCTACCCTCTGCCCAAGCAGCTCCAGCCAGGTGGGGAGCTCAGCCTCGTCGCCAAACTCGGTACGCCAGGCGTCGCTCAGACGGGCGAAGCAGCGGGACTGGGTGTGACCAAGTGTCCCGCAAGCCTGACCAGCCCGATCACCTGTGCGAAAGACGTACGGGCAGCGAACGGTACTCCGAGACCCTCGACTCTGAGCGTACCACTCGTGAAGCTGCCGGGACGTAAGTGTCTCGCGCGGACGCCGCTGCAGCTGCAGCTGGCCACTGCCAGACGCTCCCGACCGACCAGCTCCAGGGCGACAGCCACGACGGCTACCGCCACAACCCCAACTAGCGTACCACTCACGAAGCTGCTGAGGCGTGAGAGACTCGCGCGGACGTCGCTGGAGCTGCATCTGGCCACCGCCAGTAGCAACAGTAGCAATAGTAGCAGTAGCAGCAGCAGTAAGAGCCTAGCAGTAGTAACAGAAGGAGCAGCAGTAGCAGCAGTGGCAGCGCAGGCAGGGCAGGCGCGGCAGGCAAGCAGGCAGGCAGGCGTGGCAGGCAGGCAGGCAGGCAGGCAAATGGCGCGGCAGCGCGCGAACAAGGCAGGTGCTCACCAGTGGTGGGAAGGGTAGGCGCTCGCCGGGCGAGGGTCGGCAACAGTGGCTGCAGAGTAGGAACAGGGGCGGCTGCTGCAGTGGCAGCTGCCCCAGGGGCCAGGGGCGGCTGCTGCAGGGGAGGCTGCTGCAGGGGCCAAGGACGGCTGCTGCAGGGGCGGCTGCTCCAGGGGCCAGGGGCGGCTGCTGCAAGGGCGGCTGCCCCAGGGGCCAGAGGCGGCTGCTGCAGTGGCGGCTGCCCCAGGGGCCAGGGGCGGCTGCTGCAGGGGCGGCTGCTCCAGGGGCCAGGGGCGGCTGCCCCAGGGGCCAGGGGCGGCTGCTGCAGTGGCGGCTGCCCCAGGGGCCAGGGGCGGCTGCTCCAGGGGCCAGGGGCGGCTGCTGCAGGGGCGGCTGCTCGAAGGCAGGCGCGAGGTGAGGTAGGGGCGGCTGCACCGAGTGCAGGCGCGTCTCGGGATCCAGGGGCGGCTGCACGGGGTCCAGGGGCGGCGTCGCGAGTCCAGGTGCGGCTGCTCGAGGGTCCAGGGGCGGCTGCACCAGGGGCGGCTGCTGCAGGGGCCAGGGGCGGCTGCTCTGGGTCCAGGGGCGGCTGCACCAGGGGCGGCTGCTGCAGGGGCCAGGGGCGGCTGCTCTGGGTCCAGGGGCGGCGTCGCTGGTGCAGGGCAGCGCGCGGGTCCCACAGGCGTCGCGACGGGCGACGGGGGGCAGCGCGTAGGCCAGGCGGGGCCGCGTTGGCGGCCGTAGAAAGCAGCGCGAGGGCTGCGGAGCGGCTCGCGGGGCAGGAGAAGGCAGCGCGGGGGCTACGGGGCGGCGCGCGGGCCTGACAAGGCAGCTAGCGAGCTACGCGCGGGGCTGACGAGGCAGCAGGCGGGCTGCTAGCGGGCTGTACGAGGGCCAGCAGAGGCGAGCGCGAGGGCTGCGCGACGCAGGGCAGTGTAGGCAATGGGCGGGGTAACTCGGTAACCGGCGGAAAACGGTTGGTGGGCCCTGAAAAACAGTTCTAAAACGGTCCTAAGGACCTATGTTGCTCTTAATACCATGTCGAGAGTAAAGAGAAAGGATGGTTGCACTATCGAGAAAGTTGGGTACAAGTAACAAAACCTATACCCTACATTAGCTACCCCACTAAAGCCTACATTTTATTATGACACAGGCATATACTTTGGCAGTGCATATCCAATCCCAATCATGTGCAAGTCCAGAGTGGAAGCCTCTGGTTTAGTTCTCAAGAACAATGGGCGATACAATGAAGATAACGCTTTGATATGACTTTCCGACACCTCATCTTGTACCAGTATAGAGCAGGCTTCACCGACGTTACACACTAAAGAAATGCAGCTAAACTGTTACATGCCGCTAGGGGAGCGTGGGCGCATGGCTACTTGTATAGCTCCAGAGCTATCCTCGCAAATCACCATATGATGCTCCTCATCTAACCCTGTAGGGAGTGTAGCCCAGGTGAAACCAGCATCATCAGCACCAGCGGAACCCCCATCACCTGCATTGCCCAGTGCAGCACCAGAATTGTCAACTGTCTCAACTGCCGCCGCTGCCGCAGCTGCAGCAGCAGCATCTCGCTTCCCAGCAGATCTAGCTCCAAAGCCATACTCAGCAAAACCATCTGCTGCAGCAGCAGCGTCAGAAGCGGAAGCAGAAGCGGCCGAGACAGCAGCAAATAGATCCAAGCCCACCTCTAGCTGCTGGTCCGGTGAGAGAACAAGGTGTTGGGAGGAGGCCTGCTGCGGGGTGTTACCAGGGGAGGTTGTATTTGCACTCGGGGCGGATTCAGGGGTGGTTCTGCTTGTCGGAAAGACGGCGGCCTGGCCAGAAACTATTCCCTGTGTTGCCCCGGCAAAGATATTATTCGGGGCCTCGTCAGCAACCAGCACCACAGCTGCTGACGCGGACCGGCTCTTGCTGATGTGGCGGGCCGGCGAGCCAATCACAGGGCTCGACGACACATCTCCTGATCGCTTTGGAAAAACCGCACTGTCTCGCCCCGGCGACGCACCACCGACCACGAAAACGTCATTTTGTGACTGATTATTCCGCGCTTGACTGATTAGCTGCGCCTGCGCTAGCAGAATCTCCTGGGCTAGCAGCGAGCCCTCATGGGGGGCTGTGGAGTCATGCGGATCTCGCTGTGTGCCCTGCGGGTGTGAGTCACGCTGGTCGCTCTGCAGATTTGAGTGTTGCAGGTTCAGGTGTTGTGAGTTGAAATCGAGGTCTGCAACAAGTTGCATGTCATCTAGCGTGAACGAGTCTAACGTGCTCCACGGCAGTTCCACCCCGGCCTCCTGCCCGTTCTCTCCCCCCTCCCCCTGCTCCTGCTGCTTCACGGCTAGTTCCTCCAGCTGCTCTTGCATCAGACCCCAGTCGTCAGGGATAAGTGACTGCCATGGTTGTAGCTCGTGCCGCTGCTCTTCCGCTTCATGTGCTCCCACTCCCTCCTCCTCCCCTTCCTTCTCTAGGGGATCCCCACACACTTCCTGCTCTGATCTCTGCTCCTGCTTTAGCTGCTGCTGCGCCTGTGCTATTAACTCCTGTATACTAACCTCCCCCCCCCCGCTGCTGCTGCTGCTGCCGCTGCTGCTCCCCCTGCTGCTGTAGCTGTTGCTGCTGCTGCTGCTGCTGCTGCCGCTGCTGCCGCTGCCACTGCTGTGTCAGATCGTCACTAAAAAACGCATGCGCCAAAGCATCATACCCCACACCCTCCATACTCTGCCCTCCGCCCGCACTAATCAAGAAATCCCCGCTCGCAGCAGCAGCAGACGAGGCGAAGCGGGGGGAGAAGAGCGCTGGGCTGGCGGAGGCGGAGGCGGAGGAGTGGCTGTGCGCGGATCGGGGGGAGATGGGGGGAGGGGACGATGTGACATGCGAAGTGTGCGAGGAGGACGTGAGATTCCGCGTGAATAAGGTGTTGAGTGCGGTTCCAAGCTTGTGAGCCATGGTCTCCTCCTTCCCAACCCCCCCCCCTCCCTGCGCCTGTGCGTTATACAGTTGCTGTGCTATTCCGGGGTGATTCGGACTGGCGAATCCAGAGTGCGGGGGGGAAATGAAGCCCGAGGGCGGGGGGGAGACGAGCCCGCCAGAGGGACGCGGGGAAGCAGCGCGGGTGCTGCTCGGTGAGGTGCGGTTGGGGGAGAGAGACGCCATTTGCAGCATCGCTATTGCTTCTGCTAGCGACGGGGGCGGAGGCGCGGAGTGCATGAGCGGGGGGGAGGGGCTAGACGCGCCCTCTGTGACGCTCCGGGGGAGGGTTGGGCGGGATATGGGGAAGTCATGCGCGGATGCGGGGGGGGAGGGGAAGGCGGGGGGGGAGAGGGGAAAGTCTTGGGAGGAGGCGCGGGGGGAGGCGAAGGAGGGGGAGTGGGAGGTGGTAGCTTGGCAATGGAGGTTCGAGAGCGCAGCGAGGGTGGCCGCATGGGAAGAGAATATGGATAGATTGGCGTTTGCTGCGGTGGGGGATCCCGGGAGGGGAGAGAGGTAGGGGGACTTTGGGGAAGGGATGGGGGAGAGCGCGCGCGGGGGCGTGAAGTGGGGGGATGAGTACGGGGTGAGCACAGGGGAAAGAGAGGTCGGGGAGGAGGAGAAAAGGGGGGAGGAGCAAACGGGTTGATCGGACGGGGTCCATCGGGGGAGCACGGATGAAGGGGGTGTTTCGTATTGAAACGAGTGCAACAGCTCCTCCTGCATTGAGAAATCGAAGCTTCCTGACGCCTTCGCCAAAGACCCTCTCTGTGGTGCTGCTCCGCCGCCCTCCCGCCCTCCGCTCCCACCTCCTCCACCAGGCCCACTTCCCCCTACGCCCCCACTCCCCCCTTCTCCCCCTCCCCCTTCGCCCCCTGCTCCCCCTGACCCCGCCATCCCGTCCGCGCCCGCAAAGATCCCGCTGATCCCGCCCATGCCGCCGCCGGCGAGCGCATCCTGCGCTTGCGCGGAGAGCGCCGACAGCTGCCCCGCGAAGGCCATCAGCGAGTCGGCGCCAGGCGCGGAACGCGGGTCCGCCATTAGCGAAGTTGGCGGAAGGTTGCCGCCAGCGCTCAGACCGAACCCTGCTGCTACGGCCGCCGCCGCCGCCGCCATTCCTCCTCCCGCCTGTGCTCCTGCCGCCCGCCGCTACCACAGGGACGGTTGAGCCGCGCTATTGCTGCCGCCGGCAATAGAGCAGCCCCCTCGACTGCCGCCGCCGCCAGCAATGCTAGGTAACTGTTGCCCCATCTCCTGCCGCCCCAGGCTCTGCAGTAGCTTGCTGACCTGGAGCGCGCTGACGTGGCCGCTGCTGTTGTTGCTGACCCTCTGCTGATGAACCCGACCCGCAGCCGCTTTGCGAATCGCATCATCTAGGGTTTGTCGTATCGCGGCGTAATCATTACCATCGCCAGCCGTTAGCATGCGCAGCGCGTCTAAACCGCCGTCATTCCCGCCCGCGCCTATTATGCCGTTTCTCAGCAACGCATCGGCATCACCACTATCCATATTCACCCCACCCATCCCCGCGCCTCGAATTTGCCCGTCGCCAATGCTACAGCCGAGGGTAAACTGCCTCCCGGATGACAAAGGCTGTAGCAGGATCTCGGCGCTGCTACTGGCGCCGCGCTGCTGATGTGGAACAGGGGTGCTGCCGGCGGCGCTGCGGAGGTGCGGCCGGTGGTTGTGTTCGTTGATGTACTCGATTTTGAGCGGCGCCTTGCTGTCGGCCTTGCTCATGTTGACGATGCGCTTAGCGGGACAGCGCGCGTCCGTGTTTCGGAGCATGCAGTGGAAATAGTGCCTGGCGAGTGGATAAAAGGAGATTATGGAGAAAGGGAGGAGAAAGTAAGAAAGACGGGGGTTCGGGGAGAAGAAAGGGGAGGGCAAGGTGCATGATAAAGCTTATTTGCAATGGGAGGTTTCAGTATTGCGATGTGAGAATCCATCGCATCGTTTTTGGCGGTTCCAATAATCTCGACAAGAAATCGCACTTCGTTTAGAACTTCACCTCATACAGCCCTTGCTGGCGTGCCTTATGCGGAGCCCCCCGGACCGGACAGCTAGAGTACCTCATGTGTAGCCCACCGAGCCCACTGGACAGCTGTCTTACCTCATGTGTAGCCCGCCGGATAGCTGCTTTTGGCCGTATTTGACCCAGTTGTAACCGTCGCGCGGCAGCAGGTGCTTGTATGGGAACGGCTGCTTCCGTCGCGGCCGTCTGTAGCAGACAGGAAAAAGGCATTGGGGAGACGAGGTGAGAGAGGCGAGGAGGAGAGCAGACAAGGCAAGGGGCACGAGTTCGCAGGTGACACGAGAGAAGCGTATGGGCGCGAAGGAATCGCCAGACATTTGTATTGCAAAATAATCCATCCGAGTGAGAATTTAGAGCATCAATACGCATTAGAAATATGAAAGATGAATGCCCGATGCGGGTGAAATATTCAGGGCAAAACCGTGCCTTCCTGAATGAAAATGCGAGAATTCCGGGCCGGATTCGTCAGAATGAAGTACTCGAACTAGAATCAGAGAACCAACGTCGCTATTGCATTAAAAGGATAGGATAACCTTATCCTTCCGTGTGTAGAAGATCACCAGGACCACTGGATAGGACTTACTTCGCAACTGTCCCATCTTTTTCGTTCGACGTTCCTCCTCCGTTTTCGTTCGTCGGGCTCGTCGTGGCGGCCTGTCGAAGAGCGGGAAATTCTTCTGGATCGTCGTCTTCACCCGTCGCGTCGCGATCCAAGCCGCTCTGATCCATGGCTTCCAGCCCCGAAGCGTCAGTCGCTTGTGCTGCGTCGGAATGCCGGCGAACTTCTGCGCAGTTTGCGGTCGATCCGGGGGACCGCATAGCTGAGGTCTATCTTTATAGTATCCACAGGGAGAACTCTTTACTGAATAAGTTCCAGTAGTACACGGATTTGTCGTAAGGACTGAACTAGCGAAATACAAATGTACGTCACGCACGGGGAGAATCGAGTTCGTGCAGGGACGCAGCATTGTTCGAAATGAAGTGGACGAGACAAGTCACAAGAATGAACTCTCGAGGAACCTTGAGCTTGGGCTCTCACTCACACACCTCGACAATTGCTTTGAAGTTTTCCCGCCACAAACTGAGGTTCTGGCTCGGTGACTGGTTCGGTTCGGACGACTCTTGGAATTTCCTACAGCAAATTGGGATGGTCCCCCGGATGCTGCGGGCACATTCCAATTTGCTGCCCCCCAACTGCGAGAAGCATGGTCTGATCAATTCCCTGAGCAGCCTTGTTCCTTGACACAACTGGAAATTGAATTCCGTGCCCTGTGTTTGCTTTGGGATTCCAAAGCGTGCCAGTTGCTTGACACATGCTGCAGCGCTGCCCTGACTGCGCTGCATTGGTCCCAGCTTTTGGCGGGCTTTGGCCTGACGTCATCATGCGGGACGCGGTTTTGGATTTTGTTTACTTGGGACCAAACCTCCTTGGTGCAGAACAGGATTTATAAACTACGCGGTTTATTGTTCATGACTGAAAAAACTTAATATAAGAGAGGTTCATCGTTAGTCTGAAAAGACGGCCAATTGCTGAACACCGTCGAGAGTCTCTAAAAACTGCAACAGAACGTGCAATATACACTTGCTTATGTATGTTTGACTACGTTCTTGTAGTTCTGTAATCGCAATCTTGAGGGTGGCCTTGAAACAAACTACCTTCCTTGACCTGACCTGGGTTGTCGTGGCAAGGTTTTATCGATGTGATACGTGTAAATCATAACCGATGATATTGGCCCCGACAGACCCTAGCTCACACGCGTAGTTAGACCGCTAGAATCCCCATGGCGCAACTGTACACTAAACACAGTTGGCTAGACTTGACACTACGTGTGTATGTACCTATTTACCTACACGCCATTGTGTCAAAGTACTGGTTCTGGCAACAAATAGTGCTACACTTTATAAAAGACCAGTTCAGTCACAATCACAAACGTTTAAGCACTCTGGATGCCTAAGCACTTCTGTAAGTGTCATATAACATTTTCGTACGGTGTCCGGGGTGTACCACAAATAAACCTGCTGGCCCGGGAAGTATTAAATGGCCTGGGATCGTGGAATGATGTGGATGGCAGATACTGGATGAGGCAAACTCAGAAGGTCAGGCAAAAACGGACAAACAAACTCAAAGCCAACCATGTGGAGGGGGACTGATATCCGGGAAGAGGGGGAGGACGGTGAGGAGATCACGGGATTCGTCTGCTGGTTGTGTACGACAATGAAATACTACACCCTCTTTCTCGACATTCTCACCAGCGGGCGTCTGGCAGGCTGATTTTGTCTTATTGAAATTGTCTTAATGAACCCTACTTAACCATCTTCAACCGCTCTCAACCATTCTGTTTCTTCCTGCAAGTTAGTATAACCGAGGTCAGTCTAGAGAGAATGAGGGTGTACACAACACACCATCTTTCGCGCTAGAGTGGTTTCAGTTTTGACAACTTGGGTTGTAGGACACGGTTAAGGGTTTTATTTATTGTGATAACATGTATTAGCAAAAAGCATTTACAAGCACCTCTACAATCGTAGTTGTTTAAAACCGAAATGCAAAATAGTGAACCCAACGCCAGCTTGAAAGAGGGCTTGCCGTGCGAAACAATTTTCGAACCAAACCGACAAGCATCCAGTGTTTCATTGAGAGCGTTTTTGGCAGTTCGAACACATCTGATTGGTTCCCGCAAAAAACAAAAGAAGGAACACAGTACGTCAGGCATCGCATATCAGTTTGGGAAGCTGCACAACACTAGCACTGCGATCGCTCATGCACGTCCTTGCGATTTTGGGCCCAGCTTGGGGTTCAAGTTGGGTCTGGGTGAACAACTACTAGTTCTTCCGATCATTCATCTCTACTTCTTAGTTATGTGTAGCATGTCTAGTCATAGAACCGTCAACTTAGGCCGTTGTTGTTTCAATTTAGACGCGTAGTGAAGCTGGCATGGTTGTGTAGTACTTTGTGCCGTTTCGAATGCCCTCTCCCCGCCTTCCTATCTCATCTCGCTCGCCCTCCCGTTCCGATCGACCGTCCTGACGCCGTCCCGTCGACCGTCGCGTCGCGATCATGTCGTCCGTCCCGTCGCCGTCCCGTCGCCCTCCTGCCGTCATCTCCATTACCCCTCTCCTCCAATCACCCTCGCGATTTTCCCGTCGCTCTCTCTCTCTCGCCGCTCCCTTTCCTGAACCAATCGCCTTCTCCTCTCCCTTCTCGTCGCTCTCTCTCTCTCGCCGCTCCCTTTCCGTTGCAATCGCCTTCTCCCATCCCTTCCCGTCGCTCTATCTCTCTCCCCTCCCTTCCCGTCGTTCTATCTCTCTCCCCTCCCTTCCCGTCGCTCTTGCTCTCTCCCCTCCCTTCCCGGCGCGCTCTCTCTCTCGCTGCTCCCTGCGCGTCGCTCTCTCTCTCGCCGCTCCCTTTCCTGAACCAATCGCCTTCTCCTCTCTCTTCTCGTCGCTCTCTCTCTCTCTCTCTCTCTCTCTCTCTCTCTCTCTCTCTCTCTCTCTCTCTCTCTCTCTCTCTCTCTCTCTCTCTCTCTCTCTCTCTCTCTCTCTCTCGCTGCTCCCTGCGCGTCGCTCTCTCTCACGCCGCCTGATTTCATTTCTTTATTTCTATCTTCTTCGCCTGATTTCACCTGTGTGTGCCATGGATTTTGCTTGATCATGCCAGTGTTCGCGCAGGATTTTGCTAGTTTTTGTCTGTGTGCGCGCTGGATTTTGCCTGTGTGTGCGCTGTTTTTTGCATATGGGAATTCTTGTGAAGTTACGACGGCTGCTCTGTTGAATGTGGGATTGCAGCCTTGCGCCAAATTCGCACACGAATGTGGGTGAAAGTCGCCACCAATCAGATTTGTGAACAAGTTCCTCATGTTTCCCGTTCAGATCAAGACTTGTCTGGGATGAAAAAAAGTAAAAACGTACAGGCCGTCAACTTTTCAAACGTTCGTAACAAACTTGTATTTTCAAGTGGACCCAACTAGAAGGGGGGGGGTCACTATTTTAGCTGCTGGCTTTAAGAGGCGAATACCTATCTCGCCTACGGTGGCTCGAAAATACCTCCTTAAGAAAAAACCATTACACTATCTCCGGACCAGCCCATCAGCTGAGCCGGGTACATATACCGGAATCTCACTCCTCCTGCTTAAAAAAAGAAAAAAAAACAAGAGGCGACGAAATCGTCTTAGGGTTGCGAAGCGTTTTGCGTAATTACATAAATTTGTAGAACTTCTAATTCTGTACATTATGCTGGAGTATGACACTAAGTGGTACTCTTCCTCTCGCAAGGCAACGATGAAAAATGCATCAGCAGGAAACGAACTGAAAACCTATCAATACGTTCTATCTTATACGACTACGACAGCGCTGATGTCAATCGAACAACTAAAATCACACTTCTTAAATTTGTGCGACGAATCTGAGACTACCTTAGGGTTTGTTCGTCCCTTTTTTCTCCCGCTTCTCCTTCTCGCTGGTCACGCTCTACCAGCTTCTCCACCTACTCTAACTGCAACTTAGGTAAGAAGATACCTCAGCTCTAGCTCCAACTAAGTTAGATGCCTATTAGATAGAGTAACATTTAGTCAATCCGTATCCTTACTGTGTAAATGGATGAGTATTAGCTAGACTTAGTTGTTTAAACGTAGGTTCTAGGCCCTTTGTAAAGATTTCAGGTTCTCCTTGTTTTTTTATTTTAAGATTTCGTTTCTTCCTGCATAAGCTTGCATCTGTTTCTTCTATTCTTTATCCTTCATTTTTCCTTTCGTCGGTT